AGAGGCTGATCTTTGCCGGCAAGCAGCTGGAGGATGGGCGCACCCTGTCCGACTACAACATCCAGAAGGAGTCCACCCTGCACCTTGTCCTGCGCCTCAGGGGTGGCATGCAGATCTTTGTGAAGACCCTGACGGGCAAGACCATCACCCTTGAGGTGGAGCCTAGTGACACCATTGAGAATGTCAAGGCCAAGATCCAGGACAAGGAAGGCATTCCCCCTGACCAGCAGAGGCTGATCTTTGCTGGCAAGCAGCTGGAAGATGGGCGCACCCTCTCTGACTACAACATCCAGAAGGAGTCCACCCTGCACCTTGTCCTGCGCCTCAGGGGTGGCATGCAGATCTTTGTGAAGACCCTGACGGGCAAGACCATCACCCTTGAGGTGGAGCCTAGTGACACCATTGAGAATGTCAAGGCCAAGATCCAGGACAAGGAAGGCATTCCCCCTGACCAGCAGAGGCTGATCTTTGCCGGCAAGCAGCTGGAAGATGGGCGCACTCTCTCCGACTACAACATCCAGAAGGAATCCACCCTGCACCTTGTCCTGCGCCTCAGGGGTGGTAACTGAACTGGCTGGTTGCCGCTCACTTCCAAGTAAAAGTTTCTCTGCACTTGTTCATTCCAATAAAGCTATTGCATCCACAAAAGTTAGTGTCTCTAGTTATGTGACTATTTATGCCAGTAACCCAACCCTAGCTATCTAATAAACTAATTACCTAGCTTCCACACACAAAGGTGTTGCAAAACCGCCTTATGCAAGGCTTGTGCGTGCCTCACAAGTGTTGCTAATCCTTGAGCTGTGGTTTTCCTGAGGTGCGTGCCTCACAAGCGTTGTTAATCCTTGAGCTGTGGTTTTCCTGAGGTTGTGTAAGTGTTTTCGTAACTGGGTGGAGCGTTGGCTGAACTTCAGTGCTGATCTGCAGATGCTGAGCAGCTGTTGGGGTTGTGTAAGTGTGTGTATGTAATGGGAAGCTGCAGTTGGTTCAGAGCTGGTGGGTTTCAGTAATGTTGCTGGGTCCTGCCCCTGGTGTTTTGGTGTTAATGCGGACACAGCAGAAGGCAAATCCTGTGATTTGGTGATGGGGTGGCTGTGTAGTGGGTGGTGGTAGGATGTGGCTGCTGATTCTGCAGCCCTTTGACCTGTGCCTTCAAGAGCATTCTGGCTAGTGTGAGTCTCATCGTCCAGTTACTGAGTAGGCATTTGGTATTAAGTGTATTAAGCAAACTAATTTCAAGTGTAACAGCTTATTAAAAATGTGGAATGTGTTTTCATTCCAGCTGTAGGTGAAAATACGTATCAATGACCAAAAATGTCAGGGAGCAGTTCCCACATGCTACAGAAACACTTGGCAAAAGAGAAGGCTCTGCTAGTTGTTCTGTGGTGGAGATACGTGAATGTGGGAGTGTGAGTGGGAAAGGGGTGGCGGTGGTGTGGAAAAGCACAAATACCCTTCACGAGAGAAGCAAAGTGCTGGGAGGTGGGGCAGTGATTCCAGCTGGTCGCTGACTCCAGTGGGACCCAAAGTGACGCCATGCTGTCCGGAGTGAGAAGGTGGGATGGCAGGATTTCATTGGAATGAAACAGATCATTAATTACTTTTCATGAAGAGTGATGGAGGATGCTTTTCATGCTTGGTGACCTCTAAGAAGCAGTAAGGCCATCATAGGGTGGTGGCACAGCCTAGCTCCTGGTGTGTCCCTGGGGGGCTGGGTGGGAGCCTCCCCTCCGCTCAGGTGATGCTCGGCTGATGCCGCTGTACCCTCGACAGATGAGCAGCAGAGCCCTTGTGTGGCTTTTCCGGCCCCTCGAGTCACCCGAGTTGATGCAGCAATTAAAAATGCCGCGTCTCTGCAGCAGGGCTGCGGCGAGCTGTGGTGGAACTCTGCGAACGCAGCGCCTGGCCCACTTTGGGGGTGGGTGTTTCTGGAATGAAGAAGCTCTTATGTAAAAAGGAAGAATTGTAGAGTCATTAAGGTTGGAAAAGACAGAGCTCTAAGATCATTATGTCCGCTTCCCTGGGCAGCCTGTTCCAACGCCTCACCATTATCTCAGAAAACTTTTTGCCTAATACCCAATCTAAGCCTCCCTAAATCTGCTGCAAGCCTCTTTAATGTTTTCATAACTGCTTTCAGTACACACCTGGGAAGCTTTCCCTTTGAAATGTGGTGATCAGAAGATGTAACTGCAGGCGGTTCTGGTTTGAAGGTAGCGTCATTGCTGGGGGGGAAGAGCTGCGTGAGAAAACGGAGGCGTTCAATGAATGTCAAAAGCCTACGCAAATATTTTAAATCATTTTTTTACTTTAAATGCCCCAGTGGAAAAAAAAAACAACCAAAAAACTATAGTGCTATACTTAAACCCTGCAATACCGTGCAAATACGTAACGACCTGGACTGTGGTCTGAATGTGGGTGCTGCCGCCAGACTCGTGGTCTTGTAAGCAGACCCAAAGTGTAACGACACAGATGGAGGGGTTCCGCCAAGGTGAAGGCTCTGGTGCTCCTGGGTGGGAGCCGTGGGCTTGATTTCCCTGGCAATGCCCACTCATCGCATCGTTGGAGGTAGGCGCACTCCAGTCTCCAGACCCTTATAGCTCAGATCAAACTTTTGATAGAACAGGCCCAGTTCTCTCAGCTGCTCCGTGTTCTCCAGACTTGTTCTCCAGACCCATCACCAGCTTCCTTGCCCTTCTCTGGTCCCGCTCCAGCACTGCAATGTCTTTCTTATACTGTGGCACCCAAAACTGAGCCCAGCGCTCGAGGTGCGACCTCACCAGTGCCAAGTACAGGGCGACAATCCCTTTCCTTGTCCTGCTGGCCACACCATTGCTGATAGAGGCCCAGATGCTCGTGGTCTTCTTGACCACCCGGGCACACTGCTGGCATATACACACACACACATATATTTATATATTTTTAATTTATTTATGCAATTTAATCTATTTATATAATTTGATCTATTTATCTATTCGCATATTTTAATATATTTAAATACATTTAAATATATTCATCTGCTAATGTCAGTT